AACCAGAGCCTTGCACATCATCCCTGCAGCTTTGGAGGAAAAGTGCACCTTGTGCAGGAGCCCTGCTCCAGCAGAACCACATCTGTCACTGCAGGAGGATGCAGCCACCATGGAATGGGACTGCACCAAGCCCTGACTGACTGACGGGGGCACCTTGGATTCTCACTCTGGCAGTGGTTTTCCTTTGTACTATTGCTTGTATTTTATTTCTTCTCTTTTTTTCCTATTAAATTGTATTTCTGACTTGAAGTCTCTCACTGATTTTGCTTTCAAACCAGTACAGACAGGTCAGGCAGAGACCTGGCTGATCAACCCCACACCAGGCCTGGGTCAGATGGGATATTGGCAGAAATCCCTCCTGCAAGGGTGGGGATGGAATTCCCAGACAAGCTCTGGCTGCCCCATCCCTGGAAATGTTCAAGGATGAGCTTGGAGCATCCTGGTCTATGAAGGTGTCCTGCCCACAGCAGGGTCTGGAACTTCCCAACCCTTCCAACCCAAATCAGTGTGGATTTCTAAGGAAGCACAGCCCAAGCAGGAGGAAGGACAGACCCTTCAGTGCTTCTCCTGCCTGGGAGAGGTGCTGGGAAAGGAGGGACTGCAGACAGGGACACTCTGCCCCATGGCCAAGGTCTCTGCAGGTACAGGTGTGTTAATGTGAGCCTGCACAGAGCTGGGCTGATTCTCAGCTTCAGGGAGAGTTTGAAAGGCACAACCCAGCAGAGCTCTGGCTTTTGGTAAGACAAGAGGACAGCCTTGTTATTTCTAGAGCTCTTTCCCTGAAGATCCTGAAGCACCTGGCAAGTATTTGGGGGCTGGAAATATTTGAAATTCCCTTTACCAAGAGGGAACCCAAGGCTCTGTGTGGATTTCCCCAGGAAACACTCAAAACAAACAAAACACCCACTCACACATGTGCCCCTCCATCTTTTGGACTGGTCTAACAAGTTTTCTGTTGTCTGTTTTGTTGGAACGTCCCTTTTCTGCCTTCACTCACCACAGACTGTCACCTTTAACTTGGCCTTGATTCATCTGGGCCACACAGACAAGGCCATGAAAAAGCAAAGATTTCACTGGGAAGGAGTTGGGCACAGCCCAGCACCAGAAATTAACTCTGAGACAGCCCAGATAAAAGTCAGGTGTTCCACTGAGCTGTGGCCAGTGCCTTCCAAAGACAGGACAGATTCCATTTAGCCAAGACACGCCTGCCCAGCAATTTCTTCTCAGTGCCTGAGGGTCCAAACAAGCTGCTTCTCTGGGAACAGGGATTCAATGTCCTCCCCATCCCCACAGCTGACCAGCCACACACTGACAGCTCTCACTTCTTGAAGAAAATGAGGAACAAGATGCTTTGGAGATTCCTGAACAGGATCTTTAAATCCTCATCCCTTGGTTTCCCAAATGGCTAAGCAGGGATAATTTATCAGGAGTTTATCAGCCAGCTCTCAGCCCCTGTCTGGTGACAGGCAAGTGTCAGATCTTCCTCCAAATCACAGCAGCAATTCTTGCCATTGTCACTATCAATGAATTGACAGCACAGCCTCAAGTCATGACATTTGAGCTGCTGATTCTCAGCAAGATTTCGTACATCTTCCCAGCACAGAGGTGCAATGGGATGCTGCTCTTTGCAGGCTCTGATAAGAACCAGCCACGTTAACACCTCATGCACCTTCTCAGAGGAAACCTCAATGAGAGACCCAGGGACGTTTAGAAGATGCTGTGAAACTCTTTAGGGATGTCCTGCTGAAGTTTCAGGAATGTTTATCAGGAATTTTCCTGAACTGTTGCTCTGACACAGCCCAGGAGCTGCTGCAGCACCTGTGAGCTCTGATTCCCTGCTCCCCTCTCCCTGCAGGAAAACCTCCAGCTCCAGGACTGGCATTTGTTTGACATTTCCTGACATATTTACAACACTGGCCAATTTATCAGCTCCTGCAGGAGGTGGTTTATGGAACAATAGGATGAGCTATGCAAAATCCTCCAGCATTTTCTCATCCATGTGATTCAAGTGTACTGGGGGTAATCCAAGTGCACATCCAAGTTCTCCCTCCTCTGTATGTCACCAAGCACATGGAGCAGCCCCTGAGGAGGTTCCTGCCTCCTGAGTTTCTGTCCTCCCTCCCCAGCCCAGCCCCCAGGGACAATGCCCAGTGCACTCACGTGTTCCAGGAAGCACGGCCCGATCTCACTGAGATGGGGGTCCTCGTTGTTGTACTGCTTCTCCAGGTCCCTCACAAATCCCATCTGAAATCTGTAGATGTCCTCAATGTTCCCAAAGATGATTTTCAGCTGCTCATCACTGAACATGTCCCTCCTCTTCCGGCACTGCTTTAAATAACCCTGAGAGAGTGAGACAGAAGGGTGTCCTGGGTTACAACGTAAAGATGTGCCCAAAAGTTTGGATTCTGTCACCAGCTGTTCACCCAGCTGTGGCAGTGATCCTGATCTCTGTGGGGATCTCTGCTGTTCATGTTCCAGCTGTTCACCCAGCTGT